GATTCAATCAGTAAATAGTTCTTATTTTTACAAGTTGCCTTATTTCTTTTTTCTCTGATTCTCCCCCTCTGATGGAAGAGGGGAGGGGGATTTGTGAGAGCGGCTTTGTGGTATTTTGCTAGCTGGAGTTAAACCATGACAAGCCGATAGATGCTGCAGAGTACGGCACAATTCAAACACTTGTGAGGTTCTGTACTTGCCAGTGCTCCAGCTTCTAGTAAGACAAGTTATCTTAGGTCAGACCAAAGCAAGCGCTGCACATTTATGCTGATGAACTCAGAGCAATGAATAGAGAGGTGCAGAAGCCCCATAACCAGGCCAAATTTCCTGGTTTCTACTATCACCACCGATTTCCCAGCCAGAGGCAACAGAAGCAACACTGAACCCAGACTCATCAGTTTGGCTGGCCTTTCCAGAGACCTCTACCTCCAGTATCCAGCAGTCTTAGTGGCAGTAGACAAAAGCTACTTGTGGTCATAGTTTGGAAAAATTTAAGCCGGACAATATACTCTAATTCTTACCGAGTTTTCAATTGTGTCTGAAGCATTGTCTTCAACAAAATACATGCCACATTTTCCTGCAGGGAAAAAAATAGTTGCGAAAAGGTACATGGCATTACTATTTGTATAATGCATCTTAGTGTTATACAGTGTCAAGGAGTTAAGAATACTAAGAACCTGCGCAGTTCTTGACAGAACTTGACAGAAATAGAATTTATCATTCCACATCTTTTAGTGATTAGTCTGCAACTTTAAAACTATAGTCCAAATATCACTCTACAATGTAAACAGTAGGGGAAAAAACAAATATCACTCTACAATGTAAACAGGGAAAAAAAGGCAAAACCAATCTATAAAGCATATAATCCATAAGTAGTCAGGCAACAGATCAATTAATGTAAAAAAAAAAAAAATCAGCCAAGTTTATACAGTAGAATCTTTTACAAAAAGTGGTATTTGAGAACTGATATTCTACTTACCCAGCAGCAGTTCACCAGCAGTCTCTCTAGAAGGTGCTACGCTTATACATCTTCGATTAACTCTGAAATATTTCAAAGTGTATTATTGCTTATGGATTTATGTACCTAAAATTAACAGCCTCAAAGGCTACAGCTGAAGAAAGCCTTTTCAACACCATGACTAATGGTTCTAATCCCAAGGAAGGAAAGAAAATAGAATCACAGCTTTCTAGACTCGTACATTAGTTTATTTGTATTTCTTCCTTTGTGTGTTCCCTGCAGTTATTTTAGGCAGCATTAGTGCCTGTAATAGATCAAAAACTGACACAACTGCAGAACTGAGTTACACAACGGTGAAAGCAGAGAGGATGAAGACACAATTTGCTTTTGAACACTGATGGAAGGACCTACCAGACCTAGCAGCATTGCCTGTCTTAGATATCTAAGTGACAAATAAGTAAAGAAATCCCATCAGGTTATCCCACAGAAGACCCATCCCCATACCACACCAGATAGTGTTCACTGATTTTCTGAAGTCATGAAGATACTGTTTTAAGACTCAGAAAATATACATGTTGGTAGCTCTGATCTTTTGGTTGTGAGTGTAGCAAAAAAACCTATTTTTGACATTTGCCTCTTACCTCACTTCTTTTTGGTTTTTTTTTTTTTTTTTTTAGTATTTATTTTTAAGAAGTGAGGAGTTTGGAATAGGAAAATGTGGGCAAAGGAGGTAGGTAAGTGTTACACAAACATTACCTTATGTGTTCACTTGCCGCTTTGTCCTTTACAGTAGAGGAGTGAGAAGAATGTGTTTTGTCTTCGAACAGATAAGATAATGGAGTTTTTATCACACCTACAAAAAAACCCACAAATAAGCCACTAGTAGTCATTACAACTCAGATATACTTCTAGAGAGTGTGGTCATTACCTTCCTGTTTCTGCCTGTCTGGGAGAAGGTACTTGTTTGGAATAGTGAGGTAGCACCGCTGCAAGCGGCGCCTCTCTCTGTTTGGGCCCTCTGTTGGATCCAGTTGCCAAGAAGTTGGGTAATAGACTGGGTCATACCAGAGTGCTCTGAAAAAACACGAAAGATGTTACAGTTTGGCAGCAGGGACAGCACAGTGAATGCTTATTCATTCTGTTTTTCTTTAACTGTAGAAAGGTAGAAGTTCCACAATAGTACACTGGGCAATTATTTCTAAAAAAGTATCAGAAGACCGAATTATGGAGTTTATTTTCATGAGCTATCTCACTGGTTGACTACTTAGGAGCTGCTACTGAAGTTAATATTTCTGATGAAAACAGCAATACAGTGCATCCAATACTACATTTTGAAAACACAGCTGCTGCAAACATGACGTAATACTAGTTCTGCAGTGGTAAAAATACCACTGTTCAATTTGTCAAGACTTAACATCTCTTGCTCTACACACACTAGCATCCAGGCACTGTGTTCCCTAATGTGAATAACACTACCCCAAAAATGTTTTGTTACTCCATCAATGTAATGCAAGATATCAAAACGCTATGACATTCTTCCTTCTATTAGGCACAGCAAAATGTATCTGACAAAAAACCTTGTTTCAACAGCATAGAAATACTACTTGGCCACTCAACCTAAAAAAAATAGGAGAATAAGTAAAGTATTTTACAAGCCTTCCACCATCAGATGACTGGCAAAAGTAGAAGGAGAAGCGCGTGTCAGGCATTGTGAGTCTCTGGCTGTTTCTGTGAGATAACTTACCGATCATGGGTAAGCTGCTGAACAAGCTCCTGCCAATGTCTACTGGCACTTAGCTCTGCCTTGTACATCCCCCGGATGTGCTGGATTACTTTCTTCCTTTCCATTCCTTGTGACAGAGACACGGCTTGCGTGATGTCTCCAGCTATTTTAGAAATATCTTTAGATTTTGTATCCAGACGTTGAAAGAGGCTGAGGGAAGAGAGTTGTGGTTTAAAATGTCAAATAAAGACACTGAAAAGGGAAGGCAAGACACCAAAATTCCTTATAGAATACAGTCAGTTTGGTAGTCAATATCCATAGTTCTTGTTACAGCAGACACAGAGCAATTTAGCCTACATAATCTTCGAGAGTTATGATTATGTTCTGCTGCTTAGTCTTCAGAAAAAGCTACTGCTTGTGGTCAAAGACAAGCCAATCAGAAGATCAATGGCTAAATATTAGCAAGCTTTACTTATTAATGTATACTAATTACAATAAAAGTCTGAGGTAACAGTCATTTACCACTGCTCAAACCTCAAGTCAGTCAAAGTCTTCCCACTTATCTTGACAGACTTGACTAAGCAGACCTTTACAGCTACCACAGTTGCCTACATTGAAGCACGCTGTGCATGCATCTGAGGTCTGATTTTTATGGCAAAGCCCGAATAACAAATTTATGGAAGGAGCCTCTTAATCTACCAGAAGCTACTGAAACAGAGAATGCTGCTACCTGCTGCAATCTATGTAGCTCAGGAGGTTCAAATCCCATGCTGAATGTAACTATACTTCATTTGCAGAAGGTCAGGGTTGGTTGCAGGGACGTTTGCCTTGCATGCAATTACCCAGACCACAGCAAGAAGGAGAGATGACCGGACAGATACAACAGCCGTAAAGCTAAGGGTGAAATGCCCAAAGTGCAAAAAGGCATTCAGCATTCTGAAGCTCACACAAGGCCATTTATTATACAGCCTACCAAAATGCATATTCCCGCAATCAAGCTTCTTTAATAATGGCAAAGTAGAAAACAAAGCTAGCAGTGCTGTTTATTTGGGAAAACATCTATAATCGTCACATAGGCAACTGTGCAATGGGGCATGCTGGACAGAATATTCTTGCAGAGTTCTTGCAGCCCCTTTAAGGCAGCACTTACTTTTGCCGATTATTAGCCATTGTCTTCTCCCAAGCAGCTTTGTTTACACATTCTTCCATCTCATACTTCTTCTGATCCTGAATGGAAGTTTTATGCGTTATTTTTTTCCAGATGGACAAAATAAGGAAGGCGTAGCTAAAGGATATGCCAATTTACAAAAGGAAAACCAGCAAAACTGTTCAACTGATATCTTTACAGCATTTAAAACCACTAAGACTTCAATTACTGCAGATTTATTACATTTTGATGTAATTTTATATGCCATTAACACGCGAGTCCACTGTCAAGTGTGGAGTGTAAGACATGAATATTCAGAACCCAAAGAGAATACTCAAAAGCATAAGCCATGCACCAAGATAGCAAAACATCTGACCCCATATAACAGACAGATGTCTCAAATATACCCAGTTTTGCAAGTTTATATTCACAAACCTCTTTAAAAGCTTTTATTAGATCTGGTTTTGGTCGTGGGCTCAGGGGAATGCATTTATAGCCACAAGATGTTAACGTATTCACAAAGTCTCCAGCTGCTCTTTGTTCCTCTTTGGTCATTTCATCACCGTGATTGTGCATTAATTCATATAAGTACAGCGCTAATTTAGGTCCGTGCTAGAGGATGAAAGGGAGAGAAGAGGGGAAAGATGATGTATGGTCACTCTCATCTCCACAATACAACACTGAGCAGTTTTCCTCCAATTTTATTCCCTTTTCTAGTCAGACTGGACAGATTTCTCCTACTAATTTTTCTGTGATTTAAAGAAATTGGCTGCTTTAATGTTTGAAGACAAACTTCAATAAAACTAGGAAGAACATGCTGAATTTAATCCTTCACATGCATGCACAGCGTCTTGTGACTTTTCAAGTGGCTTATAGGAAAGCTGAGTTGCTCTTTCAAGGACTCGGCTCCTGCAGACTTGTTTATACTTCAGGAAATACGTGCCAGATTCCTAGTTTTGCCTGCCAAGAATGCTACACCTTGTTTGTTTAAATTAGAGCTGACAAGATAACGAAGTTAAGCAGACACAGGCGGTAAATGCAACTCCCCCAAAGAAGCCATTGCTAGTATATCAGCTCTTTTCTAACTGGTGAAAATGTTAACTTAATTGTTAATTCAATAATGTGTATGTGATGGGAAACACAAGTGTCATAAGTTCATGCAGTAAATACTTTCCCTCCTTAGTGCACAGGGACTCAACCTATGGCATAGGTCCTAAATGATTTATTTATTTATTGCAGCTCCTGAAGATCTCAGACAGCGATATTCCTACCCGATTCCTGATCATGGCTCTAAGAAATGCTTCCTCTCAATCTTGCACTAACACAACTTATGCTCAAAAAAAAAAAAGGTTTTTCCTGAGAAACCCAAAAAAGCAGGGGGAAACTGTTCAACTACTTGAGTTAAGAATATAAAATACACAATCCCACTTTAAGAATTCATAATGGCTAAATAAGAAAAAAAAGTACTGCTTTGATTAAGGACTGCCTGCCTCTAAGATCTAGCAGCCATCAGTTCTTACAAGTTTCAGGTCATCTGCAGTTAGAGTTCCAAGGCAAGGGTAACTCCCTCATTAATCTGCCTTTTAGGGTACCTTAACGTCTAGCACACTCAGTAGAATTCTTTGTTAAAACTAGTACCGTCTTTTGTTTCTGCAGTACATAGGAGATGTTTGATGTGCTACAGCATCAACATACACAGCATAATGCTGTCCTGCCTCTTAGAAAACCATCTACCCTCAGGATAATACAGCAGTTCCAGAAGTACACACATGCATTTTGCATGACATGACTTTGTCGTTACACTAAACACTGCTGAAACAACAGCGAACAATTTTAGCCCCATCCAGTTCTAAATCACCACACAATTTAAACAAGAAAATGGAATACAGATTTTACAAACTTCTCCCAAACACTGTAGAGCTTACTTGCAAAGTTGGGCTAAGACAGTCACGCATAATCTCTTGATGGTTTACTTCATGCACCAGCTCCAAAGCCTGCTTTCTCTCTTGCAGTGGCCTGGCTGGAGACAAGTTGTGCACAAGCAGCCTCCCAAGTTGTGTGCGGAACGTGTCCTTACATGACAAGAGGATTCTCTTCCACTGCTGCTTTGGTGTGTTCATTCTGCTGGCACCCTAAGTAAAACAAAGTTTTTTGATATTACAGGGTTAAGGCTTCCTTTTACCAAGTTTTTTGCATTATAAAACACAGGTGATATGGTCAAAGTGTAAGACCAGAAAAAGATTTCTCTGCCAAAAGGAAATGTTTCATTCTAGTTTACTAATTATTATTACAGGTTAAAAAGGCATTCTATGAAAAATGAAAAAAGGGTTTGTTCACTTCAAGAAAACAAGCATTTTTCTCTCAATCTGCCAATATTAGGAATGCAAGTCCTCACTAAACTGGATACTCACAGGGACTACACAACACTCCAAAAGATGAAAATTGTGATGTAGAGGGTTTAAAAAAGGGGGGATGGGTCTTTTGTTTGCTTATTTTAATGAATAGCCCTTCTACATTAATCACTAGTTTCTGAATGGATTAGCTCAGAAGATCAGAAACCAGGAATTGGATTGAGGTGCTTGTGCTCACAAGCAACCTGCCATCTTTGAAAAGCACAAATACGGCAGGATGGAAAGCTAACAGAGCCAACCAACAATTTTCCAAAAGTAGAAACAAAAATAGGTTGAGCTACTTTTACAAAGATGACCAAAGAGGAACAAAGAAGCAAGTAGCACTAAGTTCTCCAATAACAACATTTCAAATTACTGTTGTGAAACCTGATCACCCTGGAAAGGTTGACAACACATGTACGCTAGAAAACAAAGCCCTCAGCCCTTTGACAACACCTGAACGGCTGCCCCCCAGTTACATCACCAACTCCAAGAGATCTTACAGACACCATTTGCTCAAACTCTCCATCATCTGTGGATGCACAGCAAGTTCTATAGGCTCCAGCAAACGTAAGCCTTGAGGTTTAGGGAACAAAGCAAAATTATGGACTACACAGAAATCCTTTTAACCTTTGTGTGCTTGCTCAAGAAGCAGAATTATGCTATGTGAGGGTAAAAATCAGAACAGATGGATTTATTATTGTACAACTGCAGAATAACTGAGAAGTTGAATAGAGTTTTTAATGCCACAGCTGAACTGGGAGAGGCAGTAAGAACAGCATCTATGGACAGACAACTTGATCCATCAACATCTCCTAATAAAGGAACCTTATGACAAGTACTTTAATGTGGACAACTTGTAACTACTTACAGTGGATACTCTGATTCCTTCCACCAATATCTTGAACATCTCCTTAAGAAAAGGATTTGTTCTGCTAGGCAATTCTTGCTGGCTTTCTTCCTCAGGAACTTCTAGCTGGGATGCTGAAAGCCGGCTTTGAGTTGTGGTGTCTGTGATACCCAGCACATCAAAGCACTCTTCTGTAGATGCTAAATTTTTAAGAGGCACATATTCATCAGTACCATCACAAGCAAGACAATCTATGATCCTTTAGGTGGCATTAAATCAAATATTGCCTTTATTCTTATATTTAACCATATTTAAGCTTGCAATTTCAATTCCTTTATGAATCAATTTATTAAGCATTTACAGTTAATGACAAGGCCATTCTATTTGTCCCACACGTTAAACTCTCTCTTGCTTTTGTGGCATTTGAACCAGCCCCCAGAGTCATCAAGTCTTGCTAATAAGATGTTTCTGCGACATGGCCACATCTAACTGATGCATTTCAAGAGAGCAGATGGTCCCTTTGGCAGAGTTCAACCTTCAGGTAATAATTCAGGCAGTTAACACATGAACGGACTAATGCAGAATTAAAATAACTTGTTCAGTTCATTCAGACAAAAACTGTATCCAGACTGTCAGTTACATAACAGTGAGACAAATCACTGACGAGACTGATGTTTTACCATTAAATCCATTAAACTAGTGTCAGTGGTGTTACTTTCCTCTCAACACTCCAAAAGCAAGAATTCTTTTCATATAGCAGTACACTGGCTGTCAAAACAGACACACAGATAAATCCTACCTAAATAAATGAGCCTGTTAACAGCCAGAACAGTTAGCCTCTGTAACCTCTGTACAAACTCGGGCTCAGTGGCTTGGATAGGATTTTCTTGGCTCATTCTCCGCTGCATCATCATGTGGAATTCCTCACTGGCTAGTGAGCGCATTTTCATCAGCAGAGCGTCAGACTGAGCAAGTGCAAACTTCCTTGAGCCTTTAAATAGAGAAGCATTAATAGCATCCTATAAAATGCACCAAAAAAATAAATCACTCAGCAATAGCTTTCCTCCAAATAGTGCACGTAGTTTAGGAAACAAATAATTTGAAATACATTAATACTGAAGGGAAACATAAGTGTCATTTGGGTGTCTGTCTTTCTTTCAAGAGCTGTTCTGTTTGAAAATAGTGACAAAGTTCAAGAAGTGATACCATGAAATGAGTTAGTCTCAAGATCAGATTTATTGTACAGCTTGGCTGTTTGTGTAAAGCAGATTCTAAAATAAGTTGTTTATTCCTGTTTTTATAGGATTAAAAAAATAATGACACCAGAAAGTTATTGCATATTGGAAACCAGCTTTATCAGCACGAACGAAGAGTCAGTTACATCAACAGCTTATAAACTAACACATTTTGTACCATACTGTTGCTATTAGCTTTGATGGAAGTACTATTTTCAACTTATAATATTCCTTACAACTTTACTGAAGTGAACTGGTGGGCCTTGACTGTATTGGCTTCTTTTGGAAATAACTATGTATCTTATTTACCTTTAGTGCCTTACCAGAATCAACAGTAAGAAAATATTGTCATGACATTTACTAGGCTGACTGAGAAAGGCTTCAAAAGCTGACCATATGAAGAGAAACATAGTCAACAGGGAATAATAGTGGTCTCTTTCAGGGATTTTAAAAATACATGTCTGGTTTCTAAGTTTTATCTTCTACAAAGTCGTAAATGCAGCTTCATTTATGAGAGATACAAAATCAGTTTCCAGCTAGAGGACTCCAAACCTTTACAGAATGATTCACAAGCTATCAGGTAGAGATAAAGCAGTACTGCTACAGCTAGAACTGCAGAAACGTTTTACAAGCACAGCCACTGCAGAATCTGGGAATCTCACACTCCCAACTATTAACGTGGAGTGCTGAGCATTTACTTCAGGATGATCACTAGAAGCCGTGCAACAATGCAATCCCCACACCACAGCTGCGTTAAAGTCACAAGCACTAACGTCATTTTGGCTTTTCCTTACGGGGGTGAAGTTGGCTAGTAAAACCACTTACACATCTATACTAAGCAACTTGTGAACTGGAGGGATTCTCAGAAGGTGGCAGTATCTGGCCTTAGACACCGCAGTGAGAACAACGTGGCTGAGGGAACACTTTCATGTGCCACCGCCTCTTCCTAATACAAAACCCTCTAAGCTCAAAACGGCTAGAGGCTACACTGTTCTAAAGCATAAAGCCAATTCACAGAAAGGCAAAGCAACGGGACTTATTTGTTTATCATTGACAGTACAGTTTGAGAGTAATCTATACAGGAGGAAGAACCAGAATCCTGCACTAATGCTACTCACCAGCAATGCCTTTACGCTTTCGAAACATCGCGTGATGTGGTGAAGACTGTGATGGGACTGAACCAGCCTGCTCCTGAGCATCTTGGCTTGCTGTAGTTTTTATTAATTCAATAGCTGCTTGAAGAACTCTTAACTGTAGTACAACTGCCATGTCTACAGAGAGAGGCATACAAAGGACATGACGCTCATTCTTTATAAGGCTTCAAGAATTTTTACCAGATGTTTGTAAAAAGTAAAAGAACACTATGTGTTAGAGCAGTAAAATTCTCGATTCCAAGGAAGTCACATAGAAAATCACCTCACTATTCCACAGAAACAGACAGTACACAAGTGAGTTCTCATGGAAAAGACATTAAATTTGATTACTCATACAAGCTAAATAAAACTTTAGAGAACATTTCCATTTAAATACCCTCAATGAACTCCTACAGTCACTATTTGTTCAGATTAGCAGTACACAATTCTTTACCACAAGGCAGGCTCCTGAGGAAAACTACTGCTTTGAGAACCACTTAGAAGAGAAAGAAGATCCATCACCAGAAATCTACCCCTTCTCCCTCAGCAAGAATATTATTTTTAACAACAAAACCAACGGGGAAGGGATTCACTTCTCCAGTCCCATGACCCCAAAAATAAGCAGATAACTTACTTTGCATCCTTGCATTTTTACTATTTTGAAGATGACCCAGCAGCACAATGAGGTCTTCAATAACACGAAAATATTGAGAACCTGAGGAGCTGCAGGCATGAATTGCAACTGCTACCAGCAGCTGTTGTATATCGCATGCAAGTAACTTGTAGTCATTCAAGGGAATGCTGCAAACAAAGTTGGAGTTACCAGAAACATGACAATTCTAGCAGATTGTAACCCATAACAAGACCCATTACTACTCCCCTTGCTACTCTGCCAACAGTACCTAATATTAAACTTCATGTAAAAATGTCACTGCTGAAGGCTAGAACATTGTAATCAGGGCACCTCCTTAGTGTTTACTTTTGCAGATTAGATGCCTGCAAATCTGAGGCATTCTAACATTAAGATTGTAACAGTGTTCCAGTGGAAAAGCAACAATGTATTAGCAGATTTCCAATATAAAGACCACATCTGAAATGCTGTATTGCTCAAAAAAAACCCCAACCACAGCATAATCTCATTTTGTAACCATGCTGAATTAAAAATCGACTGGGGTAAAAAGGAAATCTGCCTACTCCTTCAGGATACCAACTAATGAAATAAATCAACAAAACCCCACCATAACACCTTTCTCTTACAGTACAGAACATTTGTAATTAATGAAGTCATTTAAGTAAATCAAAATCTCAAATATTAAGTCACAGGCCACATAGGAGAGACTTTTCCTGCAGTTTTGACATTGCCTATAGATATAGCAGAATGCTACCATCTCCTGGGCCTTTATCTCACCGTTCAAGTGAGTTTTATTAGGAAAAGCATCCAAAGTGTAAAATGCAAGTTAGTCATGTAAAGTGCTGTCTCACTTGAAAATTCAAGTTACAGAAAGAACATTCTCTATCTAGTGTATTCCATTGTTTGAACTGAATATCTAAACATTAATGGCATTTACAGGTATAATTAAAGCTGAAAACCTTAACACAAGTGTAATTTTGTACACGTTCTCTTATCATCTTAGAAAGTAGCAAGAATACAATATATTAGTTTTTGCTAGACCTAAGGTTGTCACTGGGTTATTTTATAGCAACTCACATAATACTTACTTTGTTTCCAGGCCATTGAGAGCAGCCAGTGTATTACACAACACGTAGAGCAAACCGTTATCAAGCAGTAGGTCTGCCACTTTTGAGCAGGAATTGATGATTTGCAGCAGGAGACAGAAGCACTTATGCAGCAGAACGTTATCGTACAACGAGTTCTCTATAAGACCCAGCACAGGAATGACACACCATTTTTGAAAGAGTCCAACATTCTTGACATCTTCCAGATCAAATCTGTTAGAATAAATGTAAGTGAGTGACATCCTTAAAATAGCAACCTGGTAATGCAACTAGTAATTGCAACTGGAATACCAGTCTATACCAGTATTGTGATAGAGATGTAGATGGCAATTTCCTACACTTCATTGCACTAACAATGCTGGTCGACTAAAGAAAATAAGAGCAAAATACACACTTTGAAGAGCCATAAGAAAACAAAGTATCTAAAAAGTTTATCTGAATCTTAACCTAACCACCAACTGTCTTCAATATAGCTTTCATGAAAATAGATAGGTTTTAATCAGCATTAAAAAAAATACAATTCATCACCTTTCCAGTAATAAGTACTACAACTGGCACAGACACTATCGAGAAACCAGATACAGGTTGGCATCAACAGACTGACAGCAGGTTTGATATCCTGTATCCATTACTGCTTTTTGTTCAATTAGGTTTGGCAGCTTCTGGCTTATTGCAATTGTAGAATGTCAAACAGCACCTCACACCTTGTATTACTGGTGCATTAATAAATTAGATAACCTTAGAATAGTAATCAGCCTATTACATAACTACTATACACAATCCCAAAAGATTCTGAGCCGTGAGAATTACCTTTCCAGCACTATGATCAATCCTGAGGAAATAAGTTCTCTTCTTTGGGGCTACTTAAACTGCTAGGTTTAAGTCTTGCAATTAAACAGAAATATCTGGGGGTGGGGGGAACAAGGGCTGGTAGAGCTGAACGTGCAGAAGTAATCTAGCTACAAATCCTGCCAAGGCAGCAACTGAGAAGGAGCTTTTTGCAAGATTTTTGCACTGCTGACTACACTTAGACACATACTCTCCCTGTACAAGCTTTAAGTAATCCTACTAATTCTAAAAAAATGTAACTTCCTTAGATAATTGTCTACTTAAAGGTAGTCTTCTTCCCTGTCCATGAGATGGTTCTTTGGTTCAAGGAAATGATATACCTGTGGGATTTTCCCTAAAGGAAATATGGATTTAAATACAGGGCCAAGCCAAGGAAGCAGCTGTGGCATCAAGTATTGTTTTCTTTTCACCTACCAAAACCCAGTAGCAGAAGTCTAGTGACTACTACTTAAAAGTTCTAAAGATATAAACCAGAGTTTCATGTAGGATCAGAAGGATTAGGAAGAGTTAAACTGAATACAGGACATTCAAAGGGGAATTGGCATCTCAGACAGGCGGAGGGTTTAGAAGATCCCAGCTGACAGCACCCATCAGATGAAGTTGCTTATCAAACAGCTTGAGGGCCATACAACAGTCATAAGATGTTTAATACATTTAAATGTTAAAGCTACAAGCAAAACCTTTCAAAACCATTTAGAAGGAACTCTTTTTAATGGTTGATGACTACTAGGAAGACAATAGCAATTAGAAAGCTATCACATCCTTGCCTCCAGCAAAGTATTTGAACTACAAGCAGCGCACTAAGTCACAGAGCACAGAAGCAAATCACGACTTACTCTTCATCCAAGCCAACAGCGCGGCCAAAGAGCATTTCCAAAAAGCACTCTATAACTTCTTGAGTCCCCTGGTGAAGGTACAGTTGATTGGCTAGCAAGGAGAATCCACGATTCTTTAGGAATTTCTCCTTCTGCACCCTCCTTGCTCTATTGAAATACGCATCCAACAACTAAAAATAAATGGATAATTATGATGTAAGATTTAAACAGTTACTGTAACTTCCTTGAAAGTTAGGCTTTCATCCAATTCAAACAGTTTGAAGTGAAAATTTTAGCGCAGTTTGGGGAAGATGAAATCACACACGTAAGTTACAGAAGTCACACATAAACACATGCAAATTTTTCCTTGTTAAATCCTGCACTTTGTTGTGTATGCAAGTGCATGTACAATTTTTTTGGATCACTCTGTGGAGCTTTAGTCTTCAAATTAAAATACAAATCTACTTGAAATCTTTTCCATCTGCATATTGGTATCATCCAGGAGCACTGTTCTTGTCAATACTACAAAGAAATCTCTGGAAATGTTTTGAACCCTCAAATGCGTGTTCAGGTGACAAATGTGTGGATGACTCCCCAGTATAACCACGAGTCAGCTGTGTCAGAAGTTCAAACTGAGATGCACTGTGTCAAACTAAGGTGCAAGCCGTGTTGCACGTTGAAGAGACGGTCACCAACTTCTTCTGTGTTGTTGTTTCCATTTACATGAGTAATACCGTCTGGCTTAGATCACAGACCGTATTTATCAATTGAAAGACTCTCTGCAGAGGGGTTGTGTGTGGCATTTTTTTTGTGGGTTTGTGTGTGGTGTTTTTGTTTGTGGGTTTGTGCGTGGGGTGTTGTTCTTTTTTTTAAATCTGGGGGGGCAGAAACATCTTAAAATTCAGGAGGAAACCTAGAAAAGTAGAAACAACTAGAACTTGGTGTTCCCAACATGTTAACTAAGCTAGTTCACAGCTTTTTAGCTGAACACATTTTGTGTGGGCCTACTTTAATGACGCCTTGCTGTATGAGAGGAGATGGGTGGTTCACAAGTACTATAAGACAATCAGGTTGGATAAGCTTGTCCATCACATCTTCTAGCATGATATCTGGTAGGATTAGGAGAACTCCACACAAGAGGTCATACAATCCACAACAGATAAGCACAAGAGAGTCTTCCGTACATCTGAAACCAGAGGAATATGTTTTACCACAGGAAACGTTTAGGAAAAAAAAAAAGGTCTAATTGTTAGCTGCTCTCAGGCAGGAAGGAGGAGAAAATCTGGCAAACGTTTCTCCAATAATCCTATTACAACTTTAACACTTTTTCGATGGCAAACAGCAAAAAGGATAATCTGACTAGACCAACTTGCTTGAGATATTTTGTGAGCTAGCATAGGAAGTTCCCACTCCTACTACAAACAGCAAAACTCCAGATTTTTGAAGTTTGTTATGCAAATAACACAATTCTATATCAATTACAAGTAATGAATTGGTTTGACAGCCACAGGAAGCATTTTCTTAATTTTCAGGCTTCTAGGTTTGTAGAATAGTAATCAAGACCATCAACTGTGAAGCTAAAGCTCATACTGAGCTACTGCTAATTCATTATTTTGTTTATCTGCTTACCTGTCATCAGGGCTTATTGATAGTTTCTGGGTGTTCTCATTAGCTGACGAAAAAGCAAGACTCTCCCAGTCCTCTGGAAGTACGTTCTTGTCAAAGCTTGGCCAGCGAGCAATGGCTGATGAACCTCCCTGAACAGAAAATGCTAAGCCCAACCCTGCAAAATGACTCTTCTGAAACGAAGGCAGTCCTTTCAGATTGTCTGGGCGACGCAGCGATGGCTCAGCCGTAGCACCACCACCAGCTTCATTACATTTCAGGTCTGCATCTGTTTCTTTGCTCTCAAATGCACTTTCAGATAACTCTTCTTTTGCAATATCTTCAAATGTTTCAGCAGATGTTAACTCTGAGTCACAGACTGTTTTTGCAGACTCACAGCTGCTAAGAAAGAGTTCTTCTTGTACTCTCTTTATGGTTTCAGAGCTTCCTACAAACCCAGTTTTGCCCTGGAGGTCCATGTAGTCATGCTTGCCAATAATCTGAAAGTCATCAACACTCCTTCCCGTTCCTTCAGTTAGTCTTTTCCGATGAACTTGTGGTGAGGAACTAGGAGATGCTGGTAAGCTTTTGCAAAGCCTTTTAGGCATATGAGAGCTTATCTTCTGTTGTACACTAGCTTTGGAAACGTTCCCTAGAGACATAAGGATACCTTTAGCATTCTTTTGCACTAGAAACAAGCTTTTCCCCATAACGTTACACTCCACGTGTACATTTAACACAGTGATGGCCCAAGCTAAGTTTATGTGGCAAAACTGACTCAGTGCCTGGCATAGCTCAGATCTGGCCAATCAAGCAGAGAGTAAACTACTATGCAGCCACAAATTTAGCAAGTTACAAACAAATATTAAACACAGATAGAATGCAAAACAGTTTTTGCCTATATACTGGAGTTTCTGGATTTACATTGAGATCATCTCAACTAACCCTCAGCTGGAATCTGTACAGAATCATGTAGGGGGTGTAAGGCACCTCTGGAGATCGACTAGCCCAACCTCCTTGCTCACAGCAGGGTTAAAAAGAGCAGGTTGCTCTATTTGGAGCTCTTACACAGCATTTAAAATAATTTGTCTAAACTTAGAAATTCAAACTCAAAATCCCAATACTCAAACACCTACTTTCATAAAAAATTATGCTGTGTATTCCTCTGGTACATATGAATAATCTTTACTCAAGAACAACAGTTCAGTACTATTGATATCAAAAAGTATTCTGCTTGGAAGAGTAAGATTTCATATGTAATCTCTGTAAGAAAATTACTAATTCCATACACAATTGAGTACTGTGGCCTGCTCTTCATATCACTGCTTTTAATAAAAACCACTTGAACTAACACTGGTTCAACTGAAATAGTGCTTGGGGACCAGTTTGATTTTCCTAGGCAAAGTAGCAATGAGACTGCAATTGTAACAGGTATTATATTTGTGATACACAGCATATTGCCAAGTCATACATGATCTGAAATAGATAGCAGCTACGTTACAAAACAGAGTAATTTGTTTCCACTCCTATTTTGTATATATTGGTAAACTCCCTTGTATTCTGCATTTAAAATGTATAAATAAATGCTTAAACAGGCACTTATGCTTAGAGTTGTGTGTTTCAGTTTTTGGTTTACAGCTGATATTTATTGACTGCCTACGTAAAGTCTGCATTAAAAGTAGGATTAAATTTATCAGTTCTGTTTAACAAATGAAATTCAGCTCTCTGGTCCAATCCACTGCCCGCGCATCTTCAATTCCTTTTTTCTTACTCTGCTGTTCAGGCATCAAGCTCCGAGGGGCAGGAGCAGCTTTGTAAGAAACATCCGTGGGAAAGTAACACTTTTAAGACACTCTAGTCATCCACCAATGGACTTAGTGTCCTTCATGTGTTTTAATGGCCTTATGTTTTTCAGCATTGTTTTACCTTCCAGGGGTAAAGCAGTAAATCCAGTTGGAGTTGTAATCACAAACGCAGAACTCTCTACTGCCTTCCCACCACTGCTGGAATTTCTCAGATACCTAAGTGATTCAACTTTCTCCTGAAAAATTTTGCCATCTAAAAAGAAAAGGTAAGGGGAAGAAGTTACATAAAAGCTTTTAAAGTTTGTATTCTTGACATAGTTAAGACTCATCATAGCCAGGTCACATTGCAAGCTGATCACTGGGGGCTAAAGAGAAGTGCTCAACTCACAAGCAGCTGAGAAAAAGCACTTAAGAACAATTCTGTATTTTAGTGATGTATCTTTTAACGTCTACTTCAGAACATTAAAAACATTATGCTGTCCTAAAGTAATTCTGTTTAGAAGATGGTCCTTGCAGGCATACAAACAGTAATAGCTTAGACTTTTTGTCATGTCAAAAACAGGTGACTGCTCCCAAACAAGTTCATCAACTAAGGCTCAAAGTATCAAAAATTGTGTACTATTCTTACTCAGAATTTTACACCTATTAGTATCATAGGACAGATAAAACCAGCTGTACTACCTCTGAAACTGATTACTAAAGCTGGAGGTGCACAGGCTTCTGCTAAAGCAGAGAACATTTCCAACTTGGATGATGCTTTCAAGTTACAGCTGAGGTTGTACGATGCTGATATTAAAGCATGAGCTATACACCTACTTCTTTCTCACCTTTTAAATTAAAAAGAAAAATTTTTAAAGCTCATAGCACTCCTTTGGCCAAAGTGAACATCCAGTACAGATACATTAAAGACAGCTGTTGTCCTAGATCTGCACCCCTCAAAGCACATAGGCGCTCCCAGTAACTTGTACGCAGTGCACTGATGATGCCTGCCAACCATGTCTTTCAGTGCAACGGATCATTGGCTAAAAATGCTCCTCAGGTCTTTTGTTTCTGTAGGAATTCAGTAGCAGGCACTAAGAAAGAGACAGAAACTGGACCATATACACATTTCTGAAGGCGTTTTGTTTACACTGAAATTAGACATTTTTCTCCAAGAACTGCCCACAAATGTGTCCATTCAGGCAGGTAACATTACACCGCCATTTAGCGGCGGCAAGCATTAAATAAATGTAAAGACCTGACCACCAGAGAGGTTTTCGATGGCTGTAGACAGAGGAAAGCTTTAGGTAAGCCAAGCAAGCAGAGCCTAACCATGTAATACGTAAACTACTTTCACTAAGACCTAACAGTGCAATAATTTTTTTTATATATAGTTAATACAATATAACAACCAAAGAACACTCACATAGAACACTAATTTATGAAAGAGCTTCTTTTAGATATTAATTTAGGACTAGATTTTTATCTTAGTTTATTTCTAGTTAAATGCTATGTATCTACCTATGTGCAGGGAAAAGTAGAAGTTGGTAGGATTGTGACAGACATATGTGTTTGTGGGAGGGTGAACTGCTAGGAGGAAGTTGAAGACCAGTGTCAGCAATTCCAGGTCTGGGGGAGATCCAAGTACTTCTTCAATTATTTTCACAAACGACCTACAAACCTCCCGAGGCAGAGATGCAAGGTGCCCTTCTTTATGCTCCTAGAAAGGAAGAGCAGTACATTATTGTACTATTAATTTGACAGAAGTAATTTTGATTGTCATGCTGTAGTAGGAGAACAGACAAGGAAAAAAAGCAGAAGTAATAAAGACTGTACTCTTTAATTTGAGAGGAGCTACTGTACCTACTCAGTTATCCAAGTCCAGCACACTCAAAATTCAGTCACAAACATAGTATCTTCCACTCCATCATCCCCCAAAATTGCCAAATCATTGTTGGACAGTTTGAGTAGTTTCTTTTAACTAAGAAATAATTTCCCCCCCCCCAACAGGCACGTGTATTAGTGGTTGTACTCATGTGCACAAGACAGGGAAAATACTATGCAACATTCTGTGTCTAGGCATTTATGTTAATATACAATTTTAGTCTACTAACAAGTTCCAAAAGTAGAGAATACCACATAAAAATGAAGAAATTAAGATTTGCAGCAATGAAAGGCATTAAAAGGCACATTAAAATAAACATTAAGAGAGGAAAAATGCATTACATGTGTTAAGAGTGGGAACTCAGAATAAAAAGGAATGCAAGATAGGAAATGCAGTGTAGAAAACAAGGATTGCACCACACTTTCAAACAGGTATGTACTATAAGCAGGAACCCATTTCAAAATCAAGTTCCTAGGAAGTGCGTCTCAAAGGGCTGAAGCACTTCCGTAGAGTCCTTTTTAGAACCGCTATCTCCATGCCACAGAAGCAGCTCCTAGCGGATCAAAATTTTGAGCAGAGTGCTCAGACTGAGCACAACATACCAGTTACCCTATTATCTGTGGCGAGTATGGGACAGACAGTTTTCTGCTACTTGCACAGTATCTATGTTTTTCAGTAATAAAGACTTGAAATCCCAAGAAATCTCAGATCTTGACGAGAGGGTCACAGTTCACTTCAGCTCTTACTCACATCTGGATTGTGCAAGTAACCTAGTGCCTAGGTTTTCCAGGAGTACTAGGTGGTGAGTGTGTGTTGCCCCTTCTGTCTAGCAATAAGCAGAGCACCCAGGAGGGAGCTGCCTCAGCTTACAGCAGCAATGTCTGTTGAAGATGATGACAGGGGTCTGGAAGCACAGAGGATGGAGTCTACTGAAGTAGATTTTTTCCTACAGCATTTAGTCTCAGTTTTACTTGGGGGTGTCAGGGTGGGGAAGAGTATGGGCCAAGCACAAAGTAGGATTTCAGAGTGAAGTACCTGCAGAACCTGGCAAGTTAACAGGAAGTGATGTACTACTTGAGCTTTCAATAGCTGTTTGATGTTGAACATCTGTTGGTGATGGTTAGCTCTGATTAGGATTTCTAGGGCTGCTAACAGAGTTTCCCAAACACCTTCCTGAAAAACAAAACAAACATGGCTTCAAAAATGTGTTTGAGCCTACGCTGAGACTAAAAACCCCAAAGCTTAGTAACGTAACCAAGTCAGGTAAGTTTTGCACCTAAGAAAAAGATCAAGTGACTGCAGATGGCCAGGTCAGAACTAGAAACTATCAGGAAAGTTATGGTCCTACAAAGTTAAGCATTTTAATGATTAAGCTACAAAACTATTACTTTTTGTTTAAATTTAGTCTTGCGTAGTCTTTGCTATAATAAACAATGTATGATGGTTTCAGTCCTTTAACTCCAGAGGGAAGCAGATCTGCCTCAGTTTTAACAAGTTTCCTTAAAAAAAAGAACCCATTCAACTAATGAGTCATTTACATATGTTACTCGTACATCAAGCTCCCATTATCAGTGATGCATGTAGCCTTAGCATGCTACATGCATCACTGATAATGGGAGCTTGGTGCTGCTATTCAAAGACAAATAAGGACCATTAATTTAGGAAATTTTAGTAATTACTGACAGCTACCTGGAGAAATTAATTTCAGACCTCATAATAATTTATCACTTTTTTAGAAAATACTGTTTATACTTAAAATCTTTCCAAAATTAAAGTTACCTTCGCTTTAGACCATATCTTCCAGTCAAGAAGCAGCTTTTCTAACAATTGAACATCTTGGATAACTGCAGTAGAATCTGTGTCAAGTGTGAACTGCCCGTTTTCATCCATATAGAGAATCTCGTCGCTGCAGCATCCTTCAAGGAGAGTCTTAAAGAGGGGGAAAATTTTTTTGTATGTTTTAGGCACCAAGCAGCACAGTCGTCCTACCCAATCGACCTGGTCAACTGTGACAACAGTTACTGAGCTAGTGACCCTATGTCATGGTTTACAGGGGCAGTAACCCCACTAGGAGACTTACTAAAGGCATTTAAGAGGCTTCATTCTTACAACACCAGTACAAAGACTTCTTTGAAAAGGTTCAAGGGCACTCAAATATTTTTATTAATTGCTTATGAATTTAAGCTTACTTGAAGGTCTTTGCTCTCAGAGAAATAAAAGTTGCTTCCCTCACTCCATCTCCTTTAAAATCAGGGAAATCTTACAACACTTTTTCTCCCCCTACCTATCAGGACTTTCTGGTTCAAGACCAAACACCCCTAGATGGAGCTTGCTCCTAATCACCGACGTGCCTTTGTGAATTCAAATGTAGAATTAAAGCCAGAGAAGTTGCTAAACCTGTGCTAACATGGAACAAAACATCAGGTTTAAAGAGCACTCTACCTTCAGCATGCAATAGCCCACAATGCATTTTGGTTTGATCAACACTCGATGAATCATAGAATAGCCATTACAATTGTCCATCTCCTGTATTCTTTGTTGATTGTATTTTGTTAGGGACAGTATGAGCTGTAGTGCTAAAGCCTGAGTGTCTTCACAGCTGCTAATCTCTACAACCTGAAAAAAAGACAAGTTTAATAAAACAGTTTAAATGAGAAACATTTAGAAAATGAACACTTTGTTGCAGTCTTAAATCATAACTTCTGGACTAAATCTGTTTTACAGATTTTGAGGTTATGTACATAACCTTCGTTTTTGCCTATGTGTGTACCTTCAGACACTGCCTGAAGTGATTAATTCCTACTGTAGTAAATAATGATCTGTTAAGAAAGTAAGAGTCCAGTTATACGAATCCCTTTTAAGAGAAAAAAACATTCTACATAAAATTTAACTAGAAGGCACCAATTTCTTTTTGCTATACTACAGAATCACAAGGTCATGAAACACATAAGGCACTAATAAGAATAAACTCTGTTCTTTTCCCTGGAAAAGTATGTTTCCTAAACATTTAAGGAAAGCTTTAAATCTAGACCTTCAAGAACATTCATTATCTCTACCTGGAAGCATCAAACATGGAAAGTTTTCTCTTGTCCATAAAGGTACAAGCAATTTGCTAGATGAAGACTGTGGAACATTCTTCACTCTGCTTCCTACAACTCTTCAATCCCAAGAAAGAGCAAAGAGTCCACAGGCATACAAGAAGGGAATATCACATCAATTAGTTTCAGTTCCTATAGGTTCCCTTGCTGTGTACCTGGTAGTTCTGCTGCACTTCGCTGTACACATGTACCCCTATATTGTATATACATTTTACCTGTATGTACACCTATATTAATCGCTTTACTCATGCAAATAGTCTACAGCAGGATCTATAGACTTAGCATAATTTTACATAATACAGTATGAATAAGGATTTTTTCCTCAGATTTCAGCATCAATGTTAATATTACAGAAGGCAGTATCTTCTCAACCAGAGTTTAAAGATCTGACTGTCTCGAGTCTTATGTGCACCACTACCCCACCCCCACCCCACTTTCAGAACACTGCCATTGCCAGAGGTGTACAAACCAAACAAATTCTAGGCCTACAAGAGTATTTGGAATTAGCTGTAGTACTTCAGAGTCTCCTTGCATGAATATTAGCCTCTCCCTGTCTAGGTCACAGCAAAGCAGTGACTAAGTTAAGGTTCATACCCTTCATATTTTTGAGATTACAATTTTTCTTAGGGTAAGTCTTTGAACATGGCTGAACAGTTCTCTCAAAAAAGCTCTCACTCATTATTAGGTAAGCTTAAAGCTCTGCACACTATGGCCTTTTACATTTATTCATCCTTTTTTATTCATGTATTCAGCCTGTGTTTAAAGTGTTAAAGAGATGCAATGAATTTAAGTGCCTTTAAAAATACATTAATCACTTAGACTTAACAATCAAAAACAAAAAATATGATCAGTTTGACAACACTCCTAAAAATATCTTTTGACATTTAGAAGTCCCATCTCTAAACCAGAATGTAACATCTCATCTCACATACCAGCAACAAAAAAGTAATCTCATAACAGAATTATAATTAAGTTTCCAATTTAGGAACCACCCATATGATGCTGTTTGTGTTATGCCACAGATATTTTCCATAAGCTTTCTTTAACAAAAAAGAAGAAATTGTATGCAGGCAGACTTTTAATTAACAGGAGTAAGGCAGTTATAACGTGTGACTTGGTACCCAAGATCCAAGGAAAATTTTATGAGAGAATACATACATGCACTCCCCTTCTCCAGCCCCCTTACCCTAGCAAAGAGGAAAACAAATGCACCAGTTCCTCCAATTTCATGTAGTATACCCTGGAGAGTTTTATATTCAACAGGCTGAAGTGTTTTGAGGTACTGAGAGTCCAATACATTGCTCTGAACTTCTTTGGAACTGAAAGGTCTCTGAGAAGGTACAGTTTTCCCTTGACCTTTCAGTCTAATCACAGGTTCGTATATGGTGTACTGGCCAGGGCAGCATGCGGTGTACACAACAGCCAGACTCTCCTGAAACAACAGACACTTTTAAGTTTCTTCCAGGGAAGGTATTACAAAGCACCACCACAATCAACCCAAAACCAACCCCCAAAGCAGAAAAAGTCACACACAAAAGTCACTTATAACAGCAACTAGTAGCAGCTTTGGCAGTTCGTTTCTACTTTACCGTTTGTGTGGAAGCATGTGCACCTAAGTGCAATATATTTACTAAAATTTAGGATTTCTATGCAATAGCTACAGCGCAGAAAGTTAAGAAAGCACGAAAAAAAGAATTCCATCAAGGATCCCCCTCATCACCTGAAGAAGAATTACAACTATTTCACATAAAAACCAAAGTTATTGACAAATTTAAAAGAAAAGGAGCATAGAGAAGGATTGGGCAAACTGTTTTCTTTTCAAAAGCAGTGAGTCCAAATGAGAAAGTTACCTGCTATTTTTTCAAAATATCTCCAATTTTGTTTTAAGTCTATTCCTCAGTCAGCTGTGCCATAAGAGGATCTCAAAAGAAGAAGCTTCATTACTGATGAAAAGACAAACAAAACCCAAAGCTCCTACGGAAAGTAACTGACCCATTTTCACAAAAAAAATAAAATTCTCATATTTAGGGGGTTATTTAAAATACAGAAATAATTACATTTAAGGCACTTGCACTCTATGCAAAAGTGCAGAGATTAATGTATCACTTGAACACAGTTGTTCTCTGGTTACTTGGTGTTTTGTAAGGCAAAATAACCTTCAAGTTGCACAACTGATTTGTTAGGAATTCGTTTATTCCATTCATTCCTTCTTAACCTAGTCAAAATGTAGTACTGCTGTTCACACGGATCACACCCAGACAATGACCCTTTACAGAGCTGCTGCAGAGCAAGATCAGAAAACCCCTCTAGTGGAAACCATTTATACAGCAGGTCCGTAATTCATACCAGTGCACGAAGACAAGGCCCCAGACACAGCAGGCTCCACTGAAAGTTTGATCTTGTTCTTTTTCTAGAGCAACTGGTTTTACACCTCCAACTGACGTGGCTGTTTCAGTCAGGAAAGATGAGTAAAGCCAAGGTCTTCCCCATGGAAAACGACTTCTCAGTCAAACTTGATGCAAACTTACTCCCTCTCAAAACCTTCACAGAATTTGGATGAAGTCTTTTGCTTCCTGTTCAAGCCAGGTAAGTCCTCCTTTCCCCTCTCAGTTTCAGTGTTAAAAGGTTCGCTAACCTGGTTTTGGCTACATTTACACCAATGGAAAAAGAGCTCCATATTCATCCTAGAGCATTTGGAGGTGCCTGCTTATCTGATACATTAAATATGCAGTGTAATCGATGCTGGAGCATCTACAAGTTGTTAGAATCCAACCCAAAGCAAGATGAAACGGCCATCCTGTGTGAAGTTCAACTCCCATTGAAATAAATGGGAAGAACCATGCGGTGATTTTCCTGAGAATTGGATTTGCTCCTGTCTGCTTTGAGCAAGTGAAGCGCTTTGGGAGACAGCAGGGAATGTGCTCCCAGTTTCTTAATCAGTTCTAAGAGACTAAGAACCATTTTTAAGTAGGAAACTTACAATTAAAGGCCCAACATCCACTTCTTTTTTTGCCATAAAGAGCTCCTTAATTTGTTCACACAGTAGAATCTCTTTACTTATGTACTTAGAGTAATCAGTCGATGTTTTGCCATATTTACAAGGCATTACAGAAGTGAAGTCCGGCCCACATGTGTATAAGTGAAATGCTTCCTCTGGTCCCACCTTTGCACCTAAAATCCAGAAAAGCAGCTGTTAACTCTTTAGTATACAATAAAGCAAAATTCATCCATTGGCTAGTCGACTGCATCAGACACCTTACAGAGATCTGGCTGGTTTCCATAGGCCCTGCTGATGAGAAACAATCAGTGCTTGCTATTAGCTACTGTAGATCATTGACTTCTGACACATCATAGGCCAGATCAATTCAGTGGCAAAGGCAACTGAAAGCAAATCAGAGTGATCTGCATGAACCAACAGCTCTGAATAATCAATTAAGCCCCTTAAAACTGAGAAGTTATTTATCCAAGCCTCCTCAAAGTTTCCAAAGCATAGCAAGATTACAGAGAACAACAACAACATGCTACATCATCATGGAGAGATGGGTAGAGTGCCCAAGAAGGGTGCACCACAGTAAGAGCTCACTACAGCTAACAGGGAAGAAAAAGATAAAGCTATGTAGGAAGCAGAAGGCCAAAGGAAACTCCCTCCCTCTTCTGGACAGCACCTCTCCAGTCATCTGTTGGGGAAAATGCAAATTCAGAAGAAGCATCCAGATGTCTGGATGTACCTGACAACTGCAGAGCAATAAATCCAGCGCTCCCTGGCTATGTCAGTTACACTGCCCATAGGCACATGGCAATCAGAGCTCTTAAGCTCACCAGGTGGAGCTCGCATTTATGACAAGCATCTCCCCTCTGGCCCACACCCAACGCCTGCATGCACCACACACCCTGGCAAACCAATTCCCTTGTGCAGTAGTCCTGGCCAGGCCACTGCACGTGAAGAAATGCCAGGTGACGACCACCAGCCATGTTCCACCCTTCAGCACTAAGCTAACACCTAGAAGTCCTGGCCAAGACTTTCCAAGGAGGGAGAAAAAGTATGCATCTCAAAAGCCCAAAGTAACTCCCACGGTTTCAGAAATAAGCATGCACAACTCAGTATTCAGTGGCTCAGACTCTTTCTTCTTTATATATAAAGTCACTTGAAATTAGCAGTTTAGAAGCAGGTAAGTGAAATCAATTTTCCAGCTGGGAGAAACTGAGCGCTTTAAGGAAAAGCCAGTACCACCATCTCTCCATCCCCTACCCCAAGGGATGATTTAAACAAACACTAAAGTAACTGGAAATTCCAATTACAGCTCTAAAAAGAAAGTTAGAACAGTGGCTGAAGAACACATAAGGAAGTACCCAATACTGAAACATTTGGCTACTTTCTCCCTGATTAATCATGCTGGTAAAGGATGTAACATTGCGTTTACTGTAAAAGCTTGCCGTGTATTAAAACCACAGCAAATTCAGCCTTTCACCCTGGAGAAGGAAAAAGAAATGGAGACTTATTCAAGAAAAAAAGGCATACAAAAGTACCATTAAACAGAAGCAGGTTTCCAAGATCCCATCTTCCCGATAATTGAAGCAATTCTTCTTGAGACGATGTACAATGGCCAATCATACAAAATGTTTTATTACTGTCAGATGATAAGCTTGATTTCCTTGGTAGTGCATAATCTAAATTAATCTCACATTTCCTAAAATAAGTAGAAAGAAACTAGTGTAAATATTAGGAAGTGATAAAAATTGTTGTCTAAGGTATTCATCTTAGGCTTAAAACAGATTTTAGTATTTAGTAGATGAACCACACTTAACATTAAATTACTAAAGCAATCTTCAACTTCTTGACACCTTAAAACTCAAGTTACATAACGACGTATGTATTCAAATTCTGCACAGAACAGGGAAATAGGGTCCCAATTAGGACTGCCAAACAGTCAAGACTTCCTAGATCTTAAATTCCCTCCAACCTCAAAGAAGAAACTGTATATAGCACCATACACACTTCAAAATACCACAATTTTTCAAGAATTTCTACTATTCCTGGTAAGTCAAAGGCCTTTGAATCTGCTAATGCACATCATTAAATCTGTGGTTCACACAGAGCTAGAAAACACCATGTTGAGGATTTACTTATACCAGGGAACACCATCAGAGCTGGTGTGCTGTGCAGCCCCGGGCAGTAAGCCTGATGCTTTCAGAAAGCATCCAATTAACCTTCCCTGTGTTTACATGAGCAGGCCAATTGGACCACAAAGGTCATCTGAAGCTTCCTGGAAGAGCCTAACTATAAGCAAATCAGCAACTAACTCTCTCTGTATCCACAGGCCTTGATAAGCGCACACGTGCAGAACATGGCAGTATTCTCAGTTTCCCCTGCATCTCCATTTTTAGATTTTACAGCATACCAGCCTGCACAGATACACAGACTGAACAATGGGGGGGTAGGAAATCAAGTTGCTTAAGCTGACTCCACATAGTTTCACAAACAAAGTGAAACAGGTATTATACTTCACAAATCCAGGTTTGACAGCAGGAAGTATATCATCAGCTTTTTTCCTAGAAACTTTTTTCCAGTTTTAGGAGTGTCTTTAATGTTGCTTGTTCACTGACCAAATTCTATAGGACTAGTAAAGAATTTCTGTGATGCACTAAGTTTTACAAAACAGCATTTTGACCACCTTCTTCACATTTGGGACATGAAGCCTTTTTAGTCTGGACTTGAGATAGAAAACTGTGATATTTAATAAATTCTTTTCTCTAACCAATGAGTATTCCACGCAGGCACACCCAGCCTAGCATCAGGTACTGCACTCAGGAGCATGGGCCTTAAATTTTCAGTGGAAGAAATAGTACTTTCCGCTGCCAGATGAGATGGCGTCTGAAATATTAACTTCTCCCCTCTTCATTTCTCAGTGGAACAAAATGACTGCCTTCTCACCATCTCTTCAGTCCCATTTTCAACAATATTGCCAGTACCTGAACTATACTGCCTTAATTCCGATCCTTAACCAGAGACATTTTGCCTACTGCTAACTTCAAGTTAATCTTGTAGTAGTTACCTCTTTTGCTTATTGGAGATGAAGAAAAAAAGATTGGTGTCTGCCTTGGTCCATGGAACAAACCAAAGATTCCCGGAGCAAATCAAGACCATTCTGGATATTTCTGAGGAATTCCTAGCAGTGTAAGGCACCTCTCTCCTGCCCCCGGGAGACTACTCAAACGTAACTTCAGCTTGCACCAAAGCAGTGCAGATGCCTTCCTACCAGATGACATCTCTAAGATAAACACCTACGTGCACCTAACATATACTTTACCTCTGACCAGAAACCCACAGCAACAACTTTCCATGGATGTTTTTCTTGCCTTCTGGCTGCTGCAGATATGTTACTGCCAAATGCTGCCACCTGCCCACAAGGAAAACATTCTCTGGAGATTCAGCCTGTGCCAGCAGCCCAGCTTTCATTTCATCATTCGGATCCATACACATACTACAGAAACAACAGAAAAACAAGTGTGTGTGTTTGTTTTCAAATTTGCATTAAGCCCCAGAACTAATGTTTTGGCCACAGTTACTATGAGATTGCGTTCCTTAATTTCCACCGTGCCATATTTAGACTACTCAACATAAGCTAGGGAAATCCTCACATTATGGTTCCAACTCAGTTTAAGTTGTTTGCATGAATCTGCTTACAATAAGGATATTACCTCTATTTTACAAAGTTCACTTTATTAAAAAAAATGCAGGTACTTCAAACACTGCAATAGCGTTCCAAAATTGCAGTTTGAGACCCATTTTAAGGACACGTTACTTACAAGAAGTTAGGGCTAAAACATGTTCAGCAGAAGAAAAACAAGATTGTTGTGGTAAGTATTAAATAAAAGCAATTTTCACACCTGAGGTGTGAAACCTACCGCTATAAAAGCTTTTGCTTATCTCCACACATTTATTGTGTCATCTCATTAACAACTGGATTGCTACCTTGCATTTCATGATCTTTATGACTGACCTTGTTCTTACTCGGGGCAATCATTTATATATGACTACTTGAAACACGCAAGACCAGAGACAAACATTCTAAGCAAGTAATCCTGTTGATCTGTAGCAACAAACTTACTGATGTTGCTATCAGTGTGCAAAATGACTCTACTACAGAAACGAGTTCTCTGCACTCCAACAGTATCCTCTGCAAGCTGCTACTGGAAGTAACAGTATACATGTGCACAAGACTGCTTTTGGACTAACACAGCCTACCGAAATATGAACGCTCCAGTGTTCAAGTCTGCCCAGACTTGTATCATCAGTGCTTTGGAACCCAGTGAGATTATATGAATACAGCCATCTTCAACCAGCTTATCTCCCAGGCTTAGGTATTCCATTCCTTCTAGAAAAAGAAGCACGCTTATATACAATTACAATACAACACAACAATGCTGACCCTACCAGCTATCAAGTGTGGAAAGAAATCGTTCAAGTACTGCAGAGAATCGGTTCTTGTTTAGTTGGGGGCGTTCTGTTTGGTTTTTCTTCCCTCTTTTAGTGAGCTGCCTCATATGTGTGATTCTGTTCAGAGACCTAGGTCTCCTACTGAAACAGAGGAGCTCAACATTAACTCAGCACTTCACCCATTTTTGTTTGCCATCATGTAACACCCTAAGCATGAACACACTCTAATTCAGTGATGATCTGGACATGTCATATCATTACATTCCTATGCTGAACTGGCAGCCTTACTGTGCACCAAGAAATCTTTGGGTTTTTCTTCACAAGTCATCCTACTTTTTAAGCATGAACTTGCATTCAGTACGTTTGCTTTACTTGATCAAGCAAAAGCAGACATTTGATCATGTTTTCCTCTGACAAATTATAATTAAAAAGCCTGCTCAAAAGAGTTTGGGAGCATGTGGCTCTCTATGAAAGCATACAGGGAAATGTTGCGCAGCTACTGACATTTACAAGGGCACACACATAAGGGAAGTTAGAGGACTGACACTGAGTCAGCCTCAGGCTCCAATTTGATGGATTCAGAGATTCATCTTTTAGCTACGAGTTCCAACATTTAAATACTGAATCACAAAGATTCAGATGTTACTAAACTTTGGGGTTTTTTAGTCTCAGCGTAGACTCAAATACATTTTTGAAGCCATGTTTTTGTTTTTCAGGAAAGCATTTGGGAAACTGTTAGCAGCTCTAGAAATCCTTATCAGAGCTAACCATCACCAACAGATGTTCAACATCAAACAGTTATTGAGAGCTCAAGTGGTACATCTCTCTACTAAAGAGAAACAACACAGAAAGCTTCATCAATCCACGAGACCAAAGAAATCTGGAGCAGTTGTTTCCCTTGACCTTTCAGCTGCGGCATTTAATACTTTCTTCAGCATAACATGAAATAGCATAAAGACATTTTACTGAAATTATAAATTCAATGAGAACACTACATTTCTAAGGAAGCAGGCATTAGTCTAACCTAAGGACTAAGCTTGGAAATGTTTTAAGTATGTGATACAGTACTCAAAAATCAGGAAGACTACCACTCCCATTTTACATCCATAAGAAAAAACGTTAGCCTTTTGTATATGGCACATCAGTTAGCAATATTTGTAACAAGAATCCTTCAGCGCTACCTAAACAGAAACAAGAAATGCTGTATCCTCACCTGTGCTGTCAAAGCTGTTTCCTCTGACATCTACCAGTCTGCTTCTTCTCTTGAATTTTTTCCCCTTTTCTGTTGAATTTCCTATTTCATGAGCACACTCCAGATGAAACCACAGCGAGACACTGAAGCCTTCAGACATGTGCGGCCAACAGTTTTGTCCAACTAGAGGCAAGTGAATCGGGGCTACGTGCCAAGAGGAAAGCAGCTGGTGACTCAGATTTTCACCATCTGCCTCTTTCTTACTCTGTGAAAATTTTGCTCTTTTTAACAGTCCAGCAGTTTTGCTGTTGGAAGTGCTAGAAGATTTTTGTGAAGAGCTACTACTCAGATTTGTGCTGTGTAGCAAAGGGAAGGCAAGGTACTGTAAGGGGTTCATATAAACATTAGTTTCTATAATCTTCAATACACCCTTGAGTAGTATCTCCTAGAAGAAATAAACCAAACAAGTGAGAAAAAAGTAAATCAAACTGTTTACACCATGCAGTCAAGTGTCATCTAACTAAACAGAACAGTACTCTCCATTTAAATCTGGATTCATGTTTTCCCAACAGAGGAGGACCTCCATATCCAAACTGACACATTTACAAAGCATTAAGTAGCAACTTGAACAAACTATGGCCCAACAGTTCCAGGGTTTTTAGTCAGGGGAGATGAACCTTCAAGCTACCGTGCTTAGGAATCAGCTGAACCAGGACAGGTGGTCACTGCACAACCTTATCTAACAGTTATGTGCCAGCAGATAAGGCCAAGAGACCACACCTCTGACCCCATGTTTGAGGCTGGTTAGGAATGCACACAGGGGCCATCACTTTGGTATTGCATTATCACTAACAAAACTGGCTGAGCCTTTCAGCCAAAGGGTTTCTCTAGTTACTCTGCCAGTTACCACAAGCTGCCTTTGAAAAAACTGACTCATGTCTCCTTGTTTGGTTGGTACCATTTCAGACCCCACAGCATTTTTTTTTTTTTTAATTTCCTTCCACTTGTTATTCTTTCCCCTACAGACTCCCACACAAACTGACAGAGAGGTATTTCAGCAGTATATCCCACAGCAGCAAGATTCATGTTACACAAACCAACTTAAGACAGTTTTGAAAGTAATTCCTGCT